GACACGACGAACGTACCGTAAATACCGAGTAAAACGAACGTGCTCTTAAGAGGGTGGGCAGCAGAGGTGGTTGGTAGGCGGGGGGGGCGCCTACTACTACTACTACTACTACTACTACTACTACTGGTATACTACTACTGCTACTACTACTGCTACTACTACTACTACTAGTACTACTACTACTACTGGTATACTACTACTGCTACTACTACTGCTACTACTACTACTACTACTACTCCTGCTCCTACTACCACTAACTACTACTACGACGACGACTACGACTACCACTACCACGACCAGCACTACCAGTCACTACCACGACCACGACCGTCTATTACTACGACTACGACGACCACCTACAACTACTACAAATATTACAAGAAACAAGAAGACTATTGACTAGTACTGCTTCCACCGCCACCACCACCACCACCACCAAAACCAAAACCAAAACCAAAACCAACACCAACACCAACACCAACACCACCACCACCACCACCACCACCACCCTCGCCACCACCACCTCCACCCTCGCCACCACCACCACTAGCAGCAGCAGCAGCAGCAGTAGTAGCAGCACCAGCACCAGCACCCGCACGAGCCAGGGCGTGAGCGTGAGCCTGAGGTTGAGCCTGAGGTTGAGCGTGAGTGTCAGCGTGAGTGTTGGCGTGAGCATGTGTGAGTGTTCGCATGAGCTCGAGCAAGAACAACAACAAAAGCAAGAACATGAATAAGAATAACAGGGACAAAACCATACAAAACGAATGATTCCTACAACATCGCATCCGTTGGCCTCTGTCTTCGGCAGCAGTCGGAGCAGCGCTGCAGCACCGAGGCGTTGGACGCCAAGGCCTGAGGGACTGCAATCGCTGTCCAGGCGAGATTCTTGCAAGGCTGGATGCGCCATCTGATGAAACACAACGCAGATTTCCTTCGCACTGCTGGTGCAGCAAGAAAAAATCTGAAGGAGGTGAATATAGGTGAATCGAGGGCGCAGCTATCCAGCAAGCCGGGCGGTGCGAAGGCCTCGACCTGTCGGTTACACCACCGGTACTTCGCAGTACGCTCCTCTGTTTCGTGGTCTGGCCTTCTCATGGAGCAAGTGGAAACCTGCCAAAGATCGCCGTATGTCGAACCCTGGGGCCTGACCCCTGCACCATTACAAAACTGAAGCACCAGCTGCGAAGCGGCTAATGAACTGCAAACTACTGGCACGTGCGGCACCACGCCTTGCGCGCGCAAAGCAGCACGGAGGGGCGAGCATCCATGAAATGCCGCGCGAGCCTTCAAGGAGCAACAGGAAAGGCATGTCAGACTCGGCGGGATGGTGACAAGGTTCAGCATTCTTCAAGTTTTCATCTGGCCTCGTCTGAGCACCGCATCGCCTTCCCGGCTGTGAAAGCCCACAAGCGGTCGCAACAGAAGTTCGTACACACTCTCATGCACTGTCCGCTGCCTGCTGTGGCTGGCAGAACGTCTCTTCGTCCGTGAGCATGCAGTCACAGCCTGAGAGCTGAGCCGAGGCGACGAGAGTAAGGGAAAGCGTGCGAGAAGTAGAGAACTAGGACTCAGTAGGAGGAGTCTCAGTTTGGAGTCGTTTGAAGTTCCGGTTCCGCCTCGGAGCTTCGCCAGGACCTGAGCCACCACGGGCCTGGCTAACACGCTTGCGAGGCAACAGCTCGCGGATGCTCGCGGTTACTCCCGCCTGAAGAACGTGGAGGTGGAGGCCGTCGTTGCGGGAATCTCAAAGACACTTCGACAGCACATCTTCGCTCCCGGGCGAGAGCTACGAGGCCACGACCGCAGCGTAGTAGGTCCAGCGGAGGGCCGATTCCACGGGCTCTGCCTGGACGGCGGCCACCTGGAACAACGAAAACGCATCAGCATCGCTCCTCCGCGTCCCGGCCCCCGGCCTCTCCTCTCTCCCTCCGTCCCTCCCTCCCTCTCTCGCTCTCTCTCTCGCTCTCTCTACCCTTCTCTCTCTCTACCGCATGAAGAGGAAGAGACGCCCCTCAGCTAAGGCCCGCTGCCAGCTCCAGCATCAGCTGCGGCACCTGCGCCTGCCACGCGGCAATGGAGCACCTAAGACCCCCCCCCCCACAGCCTTGGACTGAGAAGAACCAGGCCGCCCCCTGCCTCCCCGCCCCCGATACGCTCTCGCCCACATTACATCCCTCTGTCCTTCAGGAACTCATTCCAGGCACAGCCGGCAAGCAGTTCTTCCCTGGAGGAGGACACGGCCCAGTCCTGTGCGCGAAGCTTTGCACTCCGCTGTTGCAACACGCACTGCATCTGGCTCTCTGGGCGAGCCCACGGCTTGTAGAGCGAAGGGCAAGCCGTAGGATCGCACCGGAAGGAAAGCGAAGACCTGCTTGGCCGCTTCTCCCACTGCCTTTTTGGCCTCGGCTGGGCGGCCCTGGCCTGCTGCGCACCGCGGCTTCGGTCGAAGCCACCTGAGGTGAAACGCGGCCACCAAGGGCTTCGGCTCTGCCAAAAAACGGAGTCCGGTGGCCTTCCGGGCTCTTCGGCAGCGCCAACTCCAGGAGCGTGGAAGGCGGCGACGCCAAGCCGGGCTTGGACAAACCCTCAGCTGCGGCTGATCCGGGCTTTGGGGCTTGCCGGCGCTGAGATGCCAACCTCCGGCACCTGAAAGGCAAAAGCCACGAGCATGAGAGAAGAGGGAGAGAAGGAGAGAAGGAGAGAGAGGGCAACACTGGAAAACTCCACCTCAACGGGAGCTTTCAAACCTGAACCCCACTGTGTTTCCCAGAGCGCCTGAAACCGTCGGCGGAGGAGCAGCCAATGGTCCGCTTCCCAACTCCGGCCTCTTTGGTGTTAGCAAAAATCCGTTGGTTTTACTTTTCACTTCAACACGATGCACACAGTGCTTTCACTCGCCTCCATCTCGAGATACCTCCCACAAGCACACCAATGCACGAAGGTGCAAACATCGTCACAGCCCGAGAAGGATTCCGTCCGAAGCCTCAAGTTTGACAGGGCCCGTCATCTCCTCCCAGCGCGCTTCGACGGTTGCGTCCTGCGGATCAACTCCAGGCACTGCGCAAAGCAACGCCCCGCTGACGCGTCCTCCGCGTACCGAACGCGCAGGGCCGAGCAGTCGGCTCCTAGAGCAAGACGCACAAAAAAAAACCTGGGCCCTGTGCCTGCAAAGGACTCGTGCCGCAGTCCTTCCTCATCAGCAGACGACGCAGACGACATCCCCTGAAGCTCCACGGAGACCTCCGACACAGAGCCAGCCTATCCCCGGCCCCGTCGGGCCCCGTCATCCCAGCAGCGGGACAGCGGAACTCTGCTCTGCTCTGCTCTGCTCTGCTCTGCCTCGCGGAGTCGCTTCAAGAAGAGAAGCAGCGAGGGCGGCAAGGAGGCCAAGCGTCGGAAGAGCTCCTGCCACAACCACAAGCAAAGCGAAAGCGCGTTGCGGAACGCAGCGGGGCGTCACACCGTCACACCCCAGGACAGGAATCCTCCTTTCGAGGTTGAAGCTCCGACCGCAGGGGCATTCGAAGCACGGAGCCCCAGGCGGGCCTCGTCTCAAGCAGTGAAAACGGCCGTCCCACGCCCGCCTGCGCCCGACCTGCATAACTCGCGAGCTTCCTCGGCATCTTCTAGCCACCGGGGCAGCACCTGAAGCTGGAGCTATCAGAGAGCAGACAAACATCCAAGATGTCAGAAACAGGCCGGATGAACGTAGCCAATGCCACTGGGATGTTGCGAATCCTCAGGCCACTTGAAGTCACAGGTGAACACCAGCTCCACCAAGCTCCATGTCACATCATTTCACCTACGAATTTCAGACTACGAAGGACCAGAAAAACTCTCAAGGCTTGAAGCCGAAACCCTGCACCAGGGCCGCGGCAAACTCCAAGCGGTAAGGTCCGGAGAAAAGGCGTGGGCGGTCCGTCAGGGTGAAAACTGCCTGGCGACAACTCCAGGGTCAGAGACTCGAAAGCTCTCCTTTCTCTGGAGCTCAGCTCAGTTCAGCTCTGCGCCTTGAAGCCAAGGCCTTTCTCACCAGTGGCAACGACACCTCAATGAGCGGATCAACCCTTCCTAGGCGACGTCCGTGGCGGCTTATGCTAAGCTTTCTCGGTGCCTTGAGTGGAAGGAGGGAGGAGGAGGTGTCGGAGTTACGTAACATGAGCTGCTACATGCTTACCTGAGTCTTACACGCAAGATGCTGTCCTGCGAAGGTTGTTTCAGACCTGTGAATCTGAGAGCGCATTCCTGGCCGGCTCTTGTGTTGCGCGACAAAACCACAATCTGCAACGAGGCTGGGCAGCAACAGATGCTTCCTTTGAGACACATCGCCGGAACCCGTTGTGAAGCTCGGACTTTGATAAAGACAACTCCTATCCACGCCACGACTGGACTGGCCACTCGGAATCGCACGACCGCCGGGGCCGTATTTGGCAACACCGACCTGTGTTGTGAACAAAGAACATCTCGACATTTCCTGTCCTGCTGCCCAAAAGTTGAAGGCAGACTTATCCGCAGGCATGGTTGTCGTTTCTTCCTGCCTTCGACGAGTTGCCAATGTCACAGATCGCTCGGATATCTGCCTGGGCCGGCATGTAGCTGTTGGTGGTGGGTGGGTGTGTGTGTGTGTGCAAACATCAGCCTCTGCGGGTTATGCTTTACTTGCTGGTTTCTGTCACTCTGTGTCACCCGAGTAAAAGCTGAAACCTTGTCAAGAAGCAACTCTGCAAAGAGTGCTTGCGGGCTTGATCACAATGAGGCGAGTGAAAGGGGCCGGAAGTGTTATTCCCATATGTCGACTGGTCTAATTTCCAGGAAATGCCATTCGTGTCCGTATCGACTCCTCTTTGCCGAGAAAGAGCGCGCGAGAGAGAGAGAGAGAGAGAGAAAGAGAGAGAGAGAGAGAGGGAGCGAGAGAGAGAAGCTTTTGTTCAAGGTCATCACTACGACAAGCTCCAATGGACCCGTGGCACAAACATGAGATTTGCTGGTGTCGGTATGTCAGACTCGAGCCGTACACACGCCCACACAGCAGGTGCACGCACACACAGAGACACACACGCACACGCACAAAAACATGGAAAACACAAGCAGCGTGCAAACGGAATCGCCTACAGTCCTAAGCACTGGGCTTCGCGAAATCCGGTCTCGTTGCAGCGGAAGATGACCTCCAGGCGCTATGTACTAGGACAGGTTGAGATGCGTGGCCATGGGCCGTGGATTCTGCACGCCTTTATGCCTTTGCTTCCCTGGCCTCACCACCTTCTGAAGCTCTCAGCAGGAACTCCGCAGTCGGCACCGTCCCGGTCTGCGCTGCTTAGAGGGAGAAGTGGATCTGTTTCTTGTTTCGGCTCATGTTGACACGGCTCCTCCCGACTAGACTTGTGACTAGCCACGTGTAAGCCAGCAAGTGTTGATGGTCACTTGCGAGGCCTGGTAGGAGTTGTCGTCGGCGTTCCTGAGAGAGTGATTGTTCATTGCCCGCACCCTCTGCAAATGGAAAGTTGCAAACGAGGGGCTGCAACAGCTCGAGCTGCCAGTGCACGTCGCTCCCATACCTTCTGGTCAGAGGAATCGTTGGAGGTTTTGCGTTCAAGCTTCGAGGCCGCAGCAGCTCTCCCGCCAAGCGCTTCAGTGCCCGAGCCAAGCGCGCATTCTGCTTGACCTAACGAAGAAGCAAAGAAGCCGCTCCTCATGGTGCTTCGTCCTGGCCTGCAGCTCACTTCCGAGGATCTTCTCCCCCTCGAAGCCGAACTCCTGGAGCCACGTGGGCAGGCTTCGCGGAGGACAAGGTGCCGATGAGGGGATGCGGATGACAGCGATGCGCACCATGGTGCTGGGGGTTGTGGCGGCGATAATGATGCCGATGACAATGGGAAAGGGATTGAGATGGTGCAGTGATGATGCTGGCGCTTAAGCAGCTGCTGTGCTTCCTAGTCAACCTGGCAACACTCCGTCAATCAAGACGAGGATGACAATGATTGTGAGAACCGAGATTGATAAGATTCCGCAGAGGACACGAGGAGCAACAGCGCCAGCAGCTTTTCCTGCGGTGTCGGTTACCTTTCCGGTATATGTCACAGCAGCATCGGTGATAGCAGTGGCAACAGCATCAGCAGCTCGGAGTATAATGATGACTATCGTCTCCGACCGCAGCACTACCGTCACCATCGTCAGCGACATAATCATAGTCATCATTGTCGCGTCGTCATCGGCATCGTTATCGCCATCGCCCGCCATCACCATCGCCATTGCTTTTGCAATCGTCGTTGTCATCGTCACCATCGCTATCTTTCTCCATCAATATCACCGGCGCAACAACCAACATCGTCAAGAAGAAGAAGAAGAAGCAGATTGCCGTTTTGCTCCAGCTTTTGTCAGTCCGTGCCGTCACCTCGCTTCTGAGTTTGAGATGCACGCCGATCAAGAGGCCGGCACTCAACCTGCAACACTGCAAGAGTATGTGCAGAGTTCTCTAAATCGGGGTCCCTTCGTGGGTCCCCAATATAGTACGGCGCCCTTATGAAAAGGACCCGAAAAGGGACCCTAGTTTAGAGAACTACCCATGTAGCTGGCGTAGCTCCTATCCCGGAAAGGACGATGTCGACGATGCAACTGTATGACCATAGCCACCCAAGCAACCTGGTTTCTTCTTTGGAGCCAAATGGCTGTTCTACCTTCCTTCCCTCGCCTCCCGAATCCCCCACCCATTTGCAATCGACCTGCCAGTAGTTGCCGTGGTGTTTGCCCCGTTCGCGGTCTGCTAAGTCCACCTCAACAATAGCCTCGCACAGGGCTGCAAGGACATAGCATCGGGCAAACGCAGAAAGCCTTTCAGCAGTTAAAATGAAAATCGGCTTGTTGGTCTCCTTTGCAACCCGCTGGCCTCAAAGGGGAGTGTCTCCCAGCTCAGTGCGGAGAAGCGGTGGAAGCCCAAACCGAGAGCCAGAAGCCTTGGCACAAGCTGCATGAGCATGTGCACGTCTCTGTGTCTCTAAGAATGACCAAAAGACATCGGTGGTCACAAGTTTCACACAGGTTCTTAGAATCGAACGCGAGGGCCGCCACCAGGGGCGCCTCGCGGGAGGGGCCACAGGCCCTGCTCAGAAGGCCCACCTGGGAGTGTCTTGATCCGGGAAGCGTCAGAAGGCGGGCAGAAAGAACCAAGCGCAACCGAGCAACCATGAGCAGCACATAGATTGCCAGGCCAGCGAAGAGATGTCGCAAGCTCTTGACCCAGAAAGACCCGCCCATGTCTGGCTTCTTGGTTTCCGCATAGATCAGGAGGTATCCGTAGCTCAGGCTCCCGATGGTGCAGTACAGCCAAGCAAATATCAAGATGAGCGGGCAGCAGCTCGCGAAGACACTGGCCACAACGATGTGCAGCGTGATCTTTGCCATGCGAGCCCCCATCCCATCGCTGTCCTGATCCTGCGGTTCGACGCATGCTTCATTTCGCAGCTCTCCGGCCTCCGCCCTAGGCAGAGAATTTATCTCGGTTATGCTTTGTGGAAAAATCCCGGTCCTCGGGCTCGCTGGCTTTTCGTGCCTCCGAGGGGTCGTTGTCGCCCCGAGCAAAGCGTGCAAGGAGGTACTTGGCCAACTGGACGAAGCGCAGAAGGTCGAAGACGTGCAGCAAGCAGCCCAACATCAGGTAGTTGATGTAAAAGTTGGAGAACCCGGGCAGGGCATCGGCAAGCAGATAGATAACCTCGCCAGGGTGCGCCAGCACTTTCGCCAAGACGTCCAGTATGGTCCCCACGATTGCCTCACAAAAAGACGTGCACGGTCTTAATCTTCGCTGCCCAGGCCTACTCCCAATCCGTTCGCTTCATTCTGAGGGCGCAGCTGTCACCAAGAGGACGAAAACAACCTGGCATGAGAGCTCACGACGAAGCGACGACAGGCAGCGGAAGACTCACTCACAAAATTAGAATGCATCCGCTCCTGGAATGAGAAATACCAGTCCTGCCCATGTGCTGCAGACATGCGAGTGAGAACATGAAGAGAACCTTTCACGCGTAACCGCTTGTCGCTCCTGCAACTTCAGCTGTGCCCATGTGCCCGCTTTCAAAGTCAAGACGTTGCTTATAATTGCCATCAGCAGCGTGGGGAGGAATGCCATGAACATCTTCAAAGCTCCAGTGCTCAACACCTGAGCTCTTTCGTCTGCAGTAACCCCTCACCTCCTTGGGCTGCACAGGCCAGTATTGCCAAGGAACCCCCTGAACCAGATGCTGGATCGCTGGGAAATCCTCGAAGAGGCGCAGAAGAATCGGCTCCACCCGATCCATGAATGTAGCGATCAACGGCGCCCAGACAATGAAAATTAGCAGGAGTAGCCCCGCCGCCGTTACGTTGCCAGAAGCCTGGATGAATGTGTGCATGCGTAAATACATACATACATACATACATACATACATACAATTACATTACATTACATTACATTACATTACATTACATTATATTACATTACATTACATAACATACATACATACATACATACATACATATGTACATAGGTATGTATGTATGTATGTAGGTAGGTAGGTAGGTAGGTAGGTAGGTATGTAGGTAAGCAGGCAAGCAAGTAGGAGGTAGGTAGACAGGTATGTATGTATGTATGTATGTATGTATGTATGTATATGTTTGTATACATACACACACACATATGTATATATATATGTATATATAATATGCATACATACATGCATACATACAAACGTACATACATCATACATACGTCATACATACGTCATACACCATACATACGTCATACATCATACATACGTCATAAATATATATATATATATACACATGTATACACATACACACACATACATATAACATATATACATACATCCATGCATGCATACGTACGTACGACAAACACAGACACACACAAACAGACCTACCTACATACCTACCTACCTACCTGCCTACCTACCTACCTGCCTACCTACCTACCTCCCTGCCTGCCTACCTGCCTGCCTGCCTACCTGCCTGCCTGCCTGCCTGCCTACCTGACTACCTACCTGCCCACACAAGTACGTTCCTGTCATGGGGCGAGGCAATTGGACCCATGGGATCGTGTCCTTTCAACGTAGATATAAACCGACAAGCAAGTGTGTGGAAACGCAAACAGGTCCCGCAAAGGGGGAGGCAGGCGCAGGTGCGGCTCTCCGGCCCTCAGCCGACAGAAAGAAAGACAGCGAGAGAGCGCGAGAGACAGAGAGACAGAGAGAGAGAGAGAGAGTGAGATAAAGAGAGAGAGAGAGAGAGAGAGAGAGAGAGTGAGAGAGTGAGACAATGAAAGAGATTGAAAGAGAGAGTGTGTGTGTGTGTGTGCGTGTGAGAGAGTGAGAGAGTGAGACAGTAAGAGAGTGAAAGAGAGAGTGTGTCTGCGAGAGTGACAGTGAGACAGTGTGAGAGAGTGAGTGAGTGAGCGAGTGAGTGAGAGACAGAGAGAGCGAGAGAGAGAGAGTGAGAGAGTGAGAGTGCGGGGAGGGAGAGAGTGTGAGAGTGAGAGAGGGAGAGAGTGAGAAAGTGAGGGAGTGAGAGAGTGACAGAGTGAGAGAGTGAGGGAGGGAGAGAGCGAGAGAGTAAACGAGTGCGAGAGTGAGAGAATGAGTGAGTGACAGAGTGAACGAGTACGAGAGTAAGAGAGTGAGAGAGAGTGAGAGAGAGTGAGAGAGAGTGAGAGAGAGTGAGAGAGAGAGCGAGAGAGTGAGTGAGTGAGTGGAAGGAGCGAGTGAGCGAGCGAGCGAGAGAGAGAGAGAGAGAGAGAGAGAGCGAAGAGATGGAGATGGAGATGGAGATGGAGATGGAGATGGAGAGAGAGTGAGTGTGTGTGTGTGTAAGGGTGAGAGAGTGGGAGAATGTGAGTGAGAGTGCGAGTGCGAGTGCGAGTGCGGGTGAGAGACAGAGCCTCACTGCGCTGCAAAACAAAGGGTGCCCCGAGCTGGGATGTTAGTGGGAGCTGCATTCGTCCAGTGTGGGTATGTTTGCTCTCACGTTCTTTCAGCAGATCAAAGGCCAGGGGAGCTCGTGCGCTTTCATTTGGTGCCCTGCTCTCTCTCTCACGTCACACACAAGGAGGAAAGGACTCTGTAGTAATCAACTTAGCAACCGATCATACCTGTCGACCTGTCTTCCTCCCTACGGCTACCTATCTATCTCTTCGCATACTACATGAAAACACATCAAGTTTATGAATTCATGAGTGCATAAAATAAACCGTAACAACCGACTGGTCACAAGGAAATGAACACATGAGCAACACACAGAATTTAGTCTGCTTCGTGAGACCTCAATTACCCTCGTTTTTCTCAACTGGAGGAGTCTCCTTTGCACCCCTGCAACTCGTTGAAGGTCTGCAGGTCTTTGTGCTTCCATTCGGCTTGTGAACAGGTCTGCTGTGGCTCTGCTGTGCTCTTTCTCTTCTGCTTCTCTCAGGCATAAGCTTTCTCTGTGTCTCCTTCTCCCTGTCGCTCTGCTCATGGATAGAACCATGCCTTGTCAACATGCCAAGAAATAGGGGAAGCTTCTGTGTCTCTACTAGCTGTGGGGCCTGCAGCTGGGGATCTTTGGCCAAATCGTGGTACCTCACGTCTTCCGGATCTGGAGGCATCGCCACCGTGAGTTGTGAGGAGTCCGCGCGATACTGGGGCTGCCTTGCCAGCATGCACATCCTGAGTCACACTGAATGAACAGACAAAAGCAGTGTCCGCGCTGCAATGCACCAGTTCTCAAACACGCAACTGGGTAGCGTGCCGTCTCGATGTGAAAGTCACGAAACCCGCGCAGCTGCACACTTGGGGGTCCATGGCCATCACCCCCTCCTCCACTGCCTGTCGTTCCTTAGCAAAGGCCTCTTGCAATGCTTCCAATTCGCGTGTGTAAAAGCCCACATCTTCCCGCCGGTAGCAGCACCAGGCACTTTGCAAGTGCCGACTGCCACTCGGCTCCCTCATGTGTTGAGCACAGTGGAGGTCATCTCGGAGCCTCTCCATGTCCAGAAAGAGGCGTTTGAGCCGCTTGTCCGTGCGCCGGACGATGTAGGCGCTTTTGATGGCCTCCCGGGAGAAGAGCCGGGCGAAGTACTGGTGCAAAGCGAAATCGGACCTACACTCCAAGGGCAGGTTCTCCACAAGCAAAGTGGTGGCTCTGGGCTCCGGAATTCGCTTTAACCACTCGAAACGCCGTGTCAGGAAGCGGCTTTGTGCAGCGTAGACTTCATAGGAAGCTGCGAGGACGACAAACCAGACTGTGGCGGCGTGCGTCCAGATCAGCAGAAGGTGATGATGCCGCTCCAAGCGATCTACGGCAAGGCCATTGAGGCTTGTCCTGCTGAGCAAGGTGCCTTCATTGGAGAGCTGCAGATGAAGGTAGAAGTGGAGCGGACACAGCAAACACATGATGGCGCCGCCCCACAAGGCTGCAAGCCTACCCCCGAGGCGGAGGAGTTCCAGCAGCTGCAGGCCATCCAGACCACACCTCGCGACGACCTCTTCCTCCTGCATGCTTCGGACGACCGAGATCCAGCCAAAGAGAGCCGAGGCCACATCGCCGAGGCTGCGCACGCGGTATCTTGGGGGCTCCAGCGCGAGCAGGGGCCTTGGGCCGTCGTTGGCCGCTGCCACCTCCTCGGCATCTTTGCCGTACACTGCAGGGACCAAGGCCCGAAGAGCCGTGAATGCGACAAAAGCTGCCAGCGAGGAGGCGAGGTTGAAGCAAAAGGCAGTCTTCATGGTCGCGAAGTCCCCTTCCGTGTTTTTGGCCACCCCGACGATTCCGGAAGTGGACTGATTACCCATTGCAACAGAAAGGAAGTCCTCCACTTTCTGCAGCGTGTCGTTCTTCTTGCCTCCTACCATCGACATCGGACCTGTGGTGGATGTAACGCCGTGGCTGGTTTGGTTCTCGCTGTCCACGCGAACACCGGGCACTCCGTGCAGCTGAAGGAGTAGCCATGTCTGAAACAGACGGCGCATCGACCGATGCCGCAACACACCGTTCACATGGGAGAATTCTCAGACTACAGCACAGGAGTCGTACACACTCCTTTTCCTGCAGCCGAATTGTGGAAGCCACCAAGATGCATGCGACATTTGCCTTTATGTCATGATGCCGAAATCTCTGCGGGCCTGGACCAAAAGTGCAGGAGCTCTTCCGGTCCTCGCGGCGAATGGCGGCCACCAAGCCCTGCAAGGGAGGTCAAAGCACCAAGGGCAAAAACGCCCTTCAAAGGCTGCCTCGGCCCCGTCCGATTGCGGAACCGAGCTGCTGCTGGCCTCATACGGCAGTCTTCGTCAGCCCATGCAAAAGATCTCCACAGGTCTCCACTAAAGCGTGGCAGCGGTCTGCAAAAAGCTTGAATTGGCATACATTCAGACTGGCTCAGATGCTGCGTTCTCGACCTGTGCCTCCGCTGCCGCGGGTCTCGCAGCCTCCTGAGCCACCGCGTTTGAAGTCATCCGAGAAGCGAAGCAGGAGCCAATAAAACACAACATGCTGTCCTGGGTCTTGGACCACTGCAACTCGCTTTCCAGCCTGCATATTTGTCTCGGCTTGCATGGACTCTTGGAACCTGACTTTGCCCACAGAAATCCCACCAACTCGACCAGGCATGACGACAAGGACCAATACTGCGAAGACCAGCCACGCGAATTTCATAGTCGAAAGCCGGGAGAGATACGGAAAGCATACAAGTCCCAGACCTAGTACATGGCCATGCAAACATTGAGCTTTTCTTGCTGGCAGCTTCACTTGCCCGGCAGTAAAGAGCTGCGAAGGCCCGCTGCACCGCTGGCTGGATAAAGCTTCTGAAGCCATCCGTGGTACAGCCCAAGCCCGAGCAGAATCAGGGCAAGGCCCGCTGTAAACCACCTGGCAGAGGCGTTACATTTCATTACATGACTCCACCGAAGACTTGCCGAGCCAAGACGAAACATCTTCAAAACGTCGGCCTGTCGAGAGGCTCGCCTTTTCCAAGGAGAGGAATGTCACCTTGGAGAGACGAGAAATGTGTGCCGCTTCGGCACTTGGCATTGGCCGCAAGGACTATGTGCGACAGGAACAGCGCATGAAAAGCCTATGGAGCACGACACTTGTGCCCAGGGGCAGGTAGCGAAAACCAGCGCAGTAGCGGGCACTGCAGCCGCAACCGAAAGCGAAACCTTTCGCATGAAGAACAGACAAGTCAATGGCAAAGACTTTTGCACGGCACCATTTAGCTTAGAGACTGTGACTGCCGAGGTCGTTCGGAGCAAGATCAGCAAGGTCACATTGAAGCCCAAGTTCAGGCAAAGGTATAAGCATGGCCAGAAGGGTTGTGACCTCCCAGTGGACGCGACCCTGCTTTGCGACATCGGCCGATCTTTCGCGGAAAGCCACTGAAGCCCGAGCCCGAAAGCGTTTGCACCCGCATTGAGGTACTCGGCCATGGCACTGGGCGTGGCGCCCAGGCCCTGCAGTGAGGCCAGCCTCCCAAGTGTCCCAAGTCACCAGGAAAGCGCGAAAGAACTCGTTCGGCCAAGGAGCACTGGGAGCAGAAGGAACACCCCAACTGCCTCAGGAGAGCAAGAAGCTACACTTATGCTTCGGCAGCGGCTTTCCTGACAGCTTCAGCACAGCAGCTTGGAAGGAGGATCCCAGCGTGTTCACGACGAAGACGTTGAGCTCTTCGCCGCAGATGCCCCGAGCATCCTTGAAGAGTCCCTCCTGGCATCAGGTTTGACACAGGCTGCCGAAGACTCGGCAGTCGTCGCTCCTTCAGCACGGAGCCCAGGGCGGGCAAGGCCAGGGAGAGAACAAAGAGCAGCGACGGGCGCCAGGGCACCTGGAAGCTCTCAGAGCCGAGCCCGCCCGTCAGGAGCCCACCTGCAAGGGGACCAGCGGGGCGGTTCGCTCCCCTTCGGGTCCGGGTTCCCAATTAAAACGGTCACGGCTGCGGGCCTGCAGAGGCGAGGATGACGCCCAGCACGCAGAAAGCACATCCTCTGTCTCGGATTCAGGAGGTTTCAAGCTCGAGCCGAGGCTGTGGGCTTGTGGCCTGCGAGCTCCCGCCAACTGTATGTACCTGCACAAACACTCGGAAGAATCGTCAAAGTGCTCCGGGCGATGCCGGTCAAGTCGTAGCCAAGGTGCGCCCAAGTAGCGTGGAAGAGAAAGTCATCTGAAACACCTGTGTAGTTGCACCCTCTGCCCAAGCTGGTCCGTCCGCCATGCTATCCCGGCATCGACATGAGGGCCGAGCCAAGTAAAGCTGGCCCAGTACAGGCAGAATGGACCCTGCCCAGCTGACATTTGCTTCGCTGACAAGTTTGGGCCCGACCTTTAGGAGAAGTGCCTGGCAGCGCCTTGGCCCCCAGCATTCCCAGCAGGAACGATCCAGCTTCCAATGTGCCTGCTCTGGAACACTTCATGGAATTTTCGCTGTGGCCCAGGCCCAGGACCGGCCCTTCCGGACAACGGCTCCATGCGAGAACCCGTGTTCCACGCCCACACGCCTATTCGCGCAAACGTCAGCCAGCGCTGCCTCGCAAAAGTCACCTGTTGGTCCGTGACATTACCTCGAGACGGGATGCTCCAGCACCCAGATCGCAGACCCTGTGTTGTGAGTTGCTTGCTGCGACTCCGCTACCCTGGGCCCTGTTGAAGATCAAAGCCATCCAGTACGCGACGACGTAACCTGAGCCACCATCAATCACCTTGTAGCCACCATATCTACTGCGCCTTTTTCGGCACGATTGAAGAGCGAAAGGAAGCTCTTTCTCTCCTCACTTCTTTACTCTGCTTCGGGGAGCCGAAGGTGGTGAACTGTGCCAGGAAGAAGACGTAGTTTCCAAGCGGCACGAGGGCCACCTTGTACATGACTCGGTTGGCCTCGGGAGGGGGCTTCTTGTCAGGAAACTCCTCGCCACCTACGGTTGCTACATGTACCTGGGATGCAGACAGTGGCCAGGGCTACAGTAGCTATGGCGAGAAGGGCGGCAAAACCAATCGGAAGCCTGCAGGTAGGAAGCATGTATGACCGAACCACAGTTAATCTGTAGACGACGGTCGGTTTGTGCTACAGATGGCCGAGTTTTCCAATCGCACAGGCTGATCGCACTCCGCCCTGATATGTGCGATGCCTTTCTGCCAGCGCCGCGTCCGACTTGTGACCAGCCCCTTCCAAGCGAGATCGAAACAACAAACTTCCCAGCTGGACCCCTCCCTGGACATCAAAACAAAACCTTCCTCGACATCGACGCTGCGCGGCCGCCGCAACGAGCACCGCACCGCAGGCGGCGAAGTCTGGACCGCTCAGGGGCTGAGACGGAGGGCGTGTGACAATGTGAGGCCGGAGATGGCCGGAGTGCTATCCGAAGTGCGTCCGAGGAACATCGCCAGGAAGAAGGCGAATCCGAGAGGTCGTCCGCGTCATCGGAGAACGTCTTTACGGCCATGGCTCCGCGACTCAGGGGCCCGGCCTGGTACGATCTGGGACCTTGCTTGACTCCTTGAGCACATGAGTCGTCTACTTGGAAACAGATTAAGATACTTAACCGTGGGGAACATCTTCTAGGTGTGAGCTCCAACAGACACTTCGGGAAGACATGTTGATGTATCTTGTGCTGAAACCACGAAGCCCTTCGCATGAGAATTTCGCTGTGTAAATGGCGGCTGGAGGCCAGCACAGACAGAGGTCTTCCGTTGTCCTGCGCCGTTGTCCCGCCCGCGGTTATAAGATTCGATGCCACGAAGCAGTGAGCCGCCAGCATCAAACCCCACGGAGCTACAATTTACAATGTGCCCTTCGAATACGGGAATGAAGATTGATGCCCGGTGAGTCTTGGTCTCACCCCGTTGCCTGTGCTCTCCGGATCAACCCGTCACGCCTTGAAGTAGAAGGCTGCGTGCGTGTGGTGGTGGCAGAACCGCCGTTCCATGTCGCCGGAGCCTGGCAAGATCCAGCCGAACGCGTCGCCCTGGCAACAGCACCACGGCCTCCCTCGCGGTGCGCGTGGCCGTGGTCAGGCGCTCGGCGGCACGGCGCAGCAGAAAGGGAGCCTCGCGGCGAAGTGAAGTCAAAAGGACTCTGACTCTCCTTCCTCTGATGCCTTCACGGCACCAAGAAGCGCCGCCCTGTCTGCCAAGAGCGGCGCGGCCTGCCGCAGGGCAAAAAGGGCAAAGCAAGGGCGACCAGCTGGGGAGTCCGAGAGCCTCCGCGAATCGATGAAGGTCGGCTTCTGTTGAAAGTGGTTCCAGCACCGCTCGTAACACCTGTCGAGAGCACCATGGAGCGTGTGATGCCTCACTGTGAAACTGACCCCACGCTGTGCTAGTGACGGCTTGGGCCTGGGGATGCCTACGGCCCAAGGACCGGAACCAACATGCAACTTCTGACCAGCAGCGCCTCCGTGTTTTCTCGAAAGGGCCTCCACTGGCCAAGACTGGACAGTTTCGGAAAGCTTTCTCCGTGACCGTGTGCCAGCACATGTGGAACCTTGGAAGCTGCTGCAGCAGCTGCGCCATCAACGTTGCATAGGCCTGACCGGCATCAGACACAGACAGCCCACACTCAAGCAGCTTGGAGGAGGGCGGGCAGCTAGAAGCAGCCACCTTAAATTTCCACCCAGCCCTGCTCCAAATTTACATCCACCTAGACGTCATCACAAGCTACCGTCTACGGTTCTATAGATTCCAGTTCACCTGCATTCATGCAGCACGACTTTAACTAGATAGAAGACAGGCCGCTGCCAACACCTTCGGTACTGCTTTTGCGGCGTAGCATCATGTCGGAAGGACACGAGACAAGACGTGCAAGCCCATTGACCTTGCCAAAGCGGCCAGAAGCCACACGACGAGGTGTTGTCACTGTTGCCAACAAAGCACCCATGGAGCTCATGCAGTCAAGTCATTCTTACAGCAACAAGGACATGAGGCAACGCCTGGGAAGTATCGAGGGTTAGCAGATTCCGCATGCAAGACCCTATCAACCAAGTTTCCAGCTCCAACTTCTCGCACCCCCACCGAACTGATACAAAGCCCGGTTGTCAAATGCAAAGCAAACGAGCAGAGTTTAGACCGCCTCAGGCTGATGTACGAGGGAGAGCTTGATGGGCCCCGTTCGACCATGTACGTTCTGTGGGAGGGGGATTTGGGGGGCCCCGGTATCGGCCCCACCTCGCCCAAGGAAGCTGCCGCCTGGCAGAGCCCAGGTTGCAGCACCTGGGAAACGACTCAGCGAAACGCTTGCACTGGCTTGCACTCACTCTCACATGCCAAAGACCTGCAAAGGACCGGATCGCAGCCCACCACAGCTGTGCACCAAAGCGAGCATGGCCTGCGCCAAAACCCGGATCCGCCCGCAAACCCACGGAAGCTAAAGCTGCCGCCGCGCAAGCCGCGTGACGAAGAGTTCCATCGGCCTCTGCCGCCTTTGCGGAATCTTGCGCGGCCAATGCAGCGCTGAAAGCCTTGCCCGGCGTCTGAGATTCAACACAGCGCTTCCCATTCCAAGCAGTTTGCTGAATCCTGGCGATGCTTCGCGACAATTCCCATCGGCCCATCATCTTCCCGAGGCCACCTCCACAGTACCGGAGGCCGCATCCATCTTGATGAAGTCGCTTTCGACTTCGAAGGCGAATATTCCCAGCCCGGGCCTTTCACGGCTGCATGATGGGTATCGCGGTCGTCGCGGTCGCACGCCGCACTGCTGGCGGGCTGCAGCTCCAGTGCTGAGGCCCCCACGCTTCCCGGTGCAGGAATTCTCGCAAGCTGCCGACCCTGACGCAATGCTCAGCTAGAGCAGGATGGCACGCTGCACTGTAGGCCTGTAAGCAGCCTTCTGCACTGTGGACCGAGGTGCCGGCTGCGCGGCAAAGACCTCCTCCCACGCGAGCCACTCCCCCAAAGGCACCATTGCCGGAGCCGCCTCGGGCTGCACGGGCACCCGAAGGAGCAGATCAGGACTGGCAGATGCTGGCAGCGCAGCTTCCTGCCTGGATCAAGCGCCCGGCTGCCTCGGACAGGCGCGACCGTTGGCTCTCGTGCTGTTCGTGGTGGCGGAAGTAAGGCGCCTTCTCCCAGCCCTCTTCGGCCATGGCCACTAGTGCCTTTGCTGCCTTCAGATCGTCTCGTCACAAAGCCCCAACTTCCCAACGCGGCCCTGCGACCTCCTTTGTGGCACTTGCTGGCCCAAAGGCTGCCGCGGCTGCGCAGCGTAAGGCGCGGTGGGCTGGTGCCTGGGAGGACGAGGCCGTGGCACAGCGTGGTGAGAAGCACTGAAGCACTGCTCCTGCCTCCTCTGCAGCATCTGCCACTGCTTTGGCAGCCGCTGCCGCCCAGTCTTTTTCCTCTCTGGAGCTGAAGGGGTCTGGTCCACTGGTATGCTTCGGAGTCAACGCGATGGGCTGTGAAGTCGGGTCAGGAGCTTTATTTAGTACGAAGCGCTTGCGAGCTCGAGGCTACCGCACAGCCGATCCCGGTGCATGCGAACCTCGCCCACAGCTCCGAAACGACGGAAGAGAAGAAGCCGCAAGGCATCCTGCTCCAATGTCAGTGGAAGGTGCAAGAAGACACCAGTTCAGATGCGACCGTTTCAATGCTGGGGCCAGCCGGGCACCAACAAGCCCGAGTCCTCAGCCTCTTGCTGTGGCCTCGGTTGGGCCGCATGTGCTCATGAATCCTGGAGCAGAGCAGCCCGAAACCAGGACCCTGAGTAGCGCTTGCTCGCACGCGCTTCGTCAAGTTTACTATGCTTCCAGGAATTGTAGCGGCCCGACATGACAGGACCGATCAGATCAGAAGAACCGATATACATGAAGACTTGCTGATGAGAGGCAGGGCATCTTGTCCCCGCAGTTCCTGCAGCAGCTCTGATGCCTGCTATTCAGGTCGATGCAACAGGTAGCATCGGAGAAGACGGGGCGCTTGGACTTCTCCAAAAATGTGAAGCTAGGACTCTCCGAACTTCTTTGCCAACGTAGCTATTGCGATCCAGATCTCGTGATTCCTGCACGATGGTGTGTATTTTCTCTGACCACACTTTGCTCTCTTTCTGCATCCGATTCTCTCGAAGGTTTTGCGGGTGTTAGACGTGCAGTTCACCAGGGACCATGCACCCGTGACATCAAATTCAATGCTAAGCCCAGTCTGGTCATGGGTGGTGCTGTGTATGCATTCCTATGATCCGTAAGCCATGAATTGTACCGTAGCGTGTTCGACATGGAGCCGACAGACAGTTTTCTGCAGAGACACTACCGTGGTGCTATTGGCACTAGCATGGTAAGAAGTTCCCACACTCATGTTAGTGTTCCACTCAACTAGATATGCGCCAACCATGCTCCCTGCAGTCCTCCATCAATGCCCAAGTTAAACTAGCAAACACACATTACACTTCTTTGCAACTATTTGGCTCATGTACGGTGTTCCTTTCTTCGCTCCGCTTCTCTCACGGAACGAGAGGAAAAGAGAATAATAGTGTAATACAGCAAGATCGTTTCCTACATGATTCCTGTCGAACTGCCCTGTAGCTTACTTCAACTAGAGGTGGGGAGGCATGCACTCTCCTTCGTTTTCGTTCGACGGTAGGATGTCTTCATATTCCCGTCCATCGTTTTGACTTGTGCTGTGCTCGCTCTGCTTGGAGTACGATCCACAAGCTGAGAAGGACGCTTACACAATCAAACTGGCCCGACTTTGCAAACAAAGCAAAAGCACATTCAAGATATCTCCGGTGAACTTGAAGACGCGCGAAGCGAACAGGAAGGATTGCATGGTTGCATATGTGCCTCGCGCTCCACCATGGCACCCACGACACCGTCGGCTGCGCCTGCGATAATGCAGCACATCAAGTGTCAAAAGCCTTCGGTAGCAAGCAACTTGGGTCTCCGAATGGATTGTCGGGGTGCCTCACTGAGCAATAAGCCACTGTGTGGGTTGATTCGCCGCTCTGTCACAACGCTAACTGGTCTGAGCACGTGCATATTCCAATACTCACATGTGTGTGTGTGTGCTTGTGTGTGTATATATATATATGTATGTATGTGTATATATGTATATATATATATATCGATGTATGCACGTATATGTATATGTCTATGTGTGCATGTATGTGTGTATATACATATACATAAATAAGGAAACAAAAATATATATATATATATGTGTAACAATGTATATAAATATGTGTACGTATGTATGTGTAGAAATATCTATATCTATGTATATATGTGTACACTTATATATATATATACATATGTATGTATGTACACATATATATATACATATGCATATATATATATATACATACGTATATACATAAATATATATATATGTATACATACATGTATATATACCTATCAACAGATATACAGATATACAGATATACATATACATATGTACATATGTACATATGTACATACATACTTCTTCTTCCACCGCCGCAAGAGAGTGTCCTGCGTTGCTGAGGGCAGCGCTTTCGCTGGCATCTCACGGGATGCATGTCCGAGTTCGGACATCCCAACACTCACCACTGGCAAAAGATCTGGACCGCCCTTTAACGAAACAAGATAAAGACTAAGAGTAGGAACAATGTTGAACACAAATGCCGAACATGAGTAAGTATGATTTCACCAACTCTGTCGCCCGGCGTGTCCGCCCCATAAGCGACGACAGAGCAGGCTCTGGGATAGTCCAGGAGTTAAAAGCGCCTCGTAAGGCCACGGTCAGCTTTCTACAAGCCTGAGCAGGAAAATGTACGCCCCTCGTTCAACCAACTCCAAATCCGCTTCGGAAAAGTCAGTGGCAGGTTGATTGTCATCTGTACTGTAACACATGCTACCGTCTACACACAGTATGGTTCTATAGTGACCCTGGTTCACACTGGGACCGAGATGGTAGATCACTGCTGTGGTCTCGTAGTGCTTCGAAATCGTGCGGATGCCGGCATCAGCAAAGTGTGGCACATACACATGTCTGCTATGCCTAACCCTGAAGTCTAGCTTGGCACCACCTGAATCGAAGCGACCTACCTGTACGGGCAGCAGAGGGGGCAGCATCAGAGCTGCATGCACTGCTGCTGGCTGACCTCGCCAGCGTACAATGAGTTGCTGCAGACTGGGTGCAAAGTCCACACTGTCAGCAGGTAAGCCCGGTGCACTAAGCGTGGGCAGGATCAGTGGCCACATGCTTCCATGATCGCACACCTCATCATCGATATGTCCTACGCCTAAAACCCGGAACTGCCACACTGCAGGCGGTGAGGCCAAGGCTGTACCCAACACTTGCAAAAACTCGCAGAGTCGTGCTGACGATCTGGGCTTCGCCAATCCCGAAACAAAGCCTGCCATGCACGAATCCTCCAGAGGTGCACTGTTTGAGGCTTACGAACTATCCACTGCAGCAGCCTGCGCGCGGATGCAGCCGGTGCGTGCAATCCTGGCGTAAGGAAGGCCGAGCACCACAACAGTGCGGCTAGCGTAGCATTGGAGTAGCAGTAGTTACTGTCATTAGAGAGAACTAGGTGCAGGACATGATGTGGGTCCGCCTTCACATGTTCTGGAGCATGCGGCTGATCTGCTGGGCTAGCGGGGAGCGCTGAAGCTTGGCCGGTCTCATAGTGCACGCGATGAGGTGAAGGCAGCTGTTGCGTGCCAACCTGCGAAACAGGCCATACATCTGCATCGCCTCCTGGTTGCGATTCTGCACCGCCAAACTGAAGGGCACCACATCCGAACTCATGTTCGGTGTAAGCTTGCGCAGGGCATGGAACCTGCCGACCGTGTCCGGGCATATCATCAGGTGCTGCAGCTGGCGAACGATCTGAACCGCAGTCTGGTGCGGAAGCGGCTCCTGGGCTGCCTTGATGTGTTTCTTTTGGGACGAATCCCATTGCAAATACACATAGCTGCTGCCCTCGACCAGTCCCATATCCACCGCTTTCTGCATCGCATCCGGGTTCGACTCGAGGAGCTGCATCTGGTTCAACAGGGCTTCCAAGAGGCACGTCAGCAGCACAACTCGCATCGGCTGCTGCAAGGACGCCGGGTCCTGCTCTTTCATCGCATGCCAGCGTAGGGCAACTTGGTGCAAGCTGTCGACTATCGCCCACTGATTGCCGGACGCCTTGGTTTGGAGAAAGAAGATGAACTCGGTGTCGAGAAGCATCACGGACTGGGCATCCTCGAGGCGTAGCAGCAACCTCGCCACCGCTAGCAGCAGCTCTCTCAGGCGCGCGTCCTGAGCCTCCCGGTCGCTCCTCCGGTCGTCGCGACGATTGTCGCGGCGGTCGCTGTCTCGCCTGGCCGGCCAGTGGCTGTCTGTCCCAGCTGTCCTGGCGACGGTTGCCGCCTCCGTTCCACCAAGTCTTGCGCTCGGACCGGTTGTGGTTCTCGCGCTCCTCCCGCTGGCTTCCAAGGGCTGGCGCGGAGCTGGGAAGGGGGGCAGCTGTCACCTCCTCGATCACCTGCTTCTCGGAGGGTGTGGTCTGCGCTTTTCCAGAAGGAGCTAAGCTGCGGCTGTCCTGGCCTTTGGTCTCGCCCTTGGCAAACTTGGGTGCTGTTTCCCCCGCTGCGGCTGCTGCACGCTCCCGTTTCTCCCTTTCCGGGTCCAGCTCCATCGCTGGCTGCAGAGGCTCCTCCGACTCCAGATCGGAGCGAGACGGTGGCCTCGTGGACATTGCATCCTGGGGAGGCTTGCTGACGGCCATCATGGCCGAGAACTGCGCCAGTTGCCGAGAGGCGCTCTGCAGTTCGTCCGTCGTGACAAAAGCCATCGAGGAGGGTCTGACCTCGGCCAGTTAAACTATCGAACCTCGATAAAAAGTGGCCACACGTCCAAAGCACTGGGCAAGCCCGAATGTGAGCTCGCGGCCGGGTGGAGTACCACTGATTGCACCACTCACAAGGGTTCGTGGCTCGCAGATGCTGCTTGATCCATGCAAGAACACGAGTTTGCTGATCTCGAACAGTGTTATGCATCTGTACCGCATGTCGGGCGACGTAGCTGGGACGGATACAATATTGAAAAAATCTCGGCAGTGATGCAGGGTATTGGTGCGGCAGATTTCCTTCGCAAGCTGGCGGAGGGTAGAACGTTTCGCCAAAAGTAACTCCGGCCTATGGAACAGTGGCGTTTCAGCCAGCGGCTGAGCGGTAGATCGGTCCGTGGACCCTCCCCCCGGTGCGAGCACCCCCTGACCCTGAGCAGGGGAGGCATGTGACGATACTACCGGAGTGGCCGCAGTGCAGGCAACATCCGTCGGTACCCTAGAGTCTGTATGTGGGGTGTCTGGTTCGGGTGGCGCAGGTGGCGCTGGGGTCGCATAATGTAGGATGGGACATGCACCCTGAGAAAAGTGACCCATGAACTGCGGCCAGCCGTAAAAGCATTTCAAGCAGTGCCTGCACTGTGGACGGCCTCGGAGCGCATGTTGACGATACTCATCTCTACGTTGGTTCTTAACTGTGGGGTTACGCTCCTTTCGAACACCCGCAGCGGCGTGGGCCTTGCCCACGCGCACACTAAGTGCATGCGTGCTAGGAAAGGACTGACCACATTCAGGACATTGACAGCGAATACGTAAGACTTGAGTGACTTCTGTCAGTTTAGCCGGGTGCGGCCCTGGTTGCCTAGTGAAGCTAGCCAACACTACATCTTGCCACTGTAACACACGCTCTGCAAGCAAGTGCTGTAGGTGATGGCGACTTTGGGCAATCCTTTCCTGACACATGTGGGCGAGCTGGGAAAGGGGCGGTTGCACTCGAAGCCTGGCAAAAAGTGCTT